TGGCCTTTAACCTGGCCAAAAGTGTGTGCCTCCCCAAGGACATGGAGCACCACTTAAAGCAATTAAACACCGAAATGAAGTCAATCCGGTCCACATCGAAGTCCATGATCTTGGTAAGTAGCTCTGTCTGTTTTTTCTGCCTAAATTTTCCAACTTTTACTTCGGCTCAAAGGAAATCTTTGTTTTGCCAGGCCTTACAAAAGAACAATATTACTTACAAGAAAGTCCAAGAACTGAGAAAAACCACAAGGCAAGCAATGGCGGAAGCCGAGGCAAAGGCGGTCGAGCTAGAAGAAGCCGAAAAGAGAATGGCCGAGCTACAAGCGGAGAACGGCCGTCTTGCCGATCTGGTTAGTTCGGCGGAGGTAGAGAGGCAGAAAGCGGCCATTGCTATGAAGGACAAATATCTGCGGGAGTTGGTGAAGCTTGAGAAGAGAAAAGACACCGAAATAAGCGAACTAAAAAAGAGCGTGGAGGCGGCCGAAAAGGAGGGGTAAAAGCGAGGTTACAAGGAGGCAGAAGACGCCTATGTCAAACAATGCGACGCCACGAAGGAGCTGTTCTTTAAGTGCGGCTGGAGGGCGGCTGTGGAGAAGCTCGGTCATGATCAACAGACCGAGGTCTTCGACCCTCCAGCTTACTTTATACCGAAGTCCCTTGCGGAGTATGCAGATGCCTTGCAACAAGAGTTTCTGGAGGACTCAGACTCTGATGACTCCTCTGCTCCCGAAGACATTCCGGTTGTAAGTGCAGACCCGTCACTTCGGTTGGAGCCTATGGTGGATGACCTACCTATCGAACAGCCAAATGAAACCGTGGTTCCAACCGAAAGCATTCTGGCAACCGAGAGTGAACTTCCTCTTGCAACCGGTCTTCAAGTTGCTGGTGACGCTGTTTTTGACGCCGAAATTGAAGAACTTTTTTCCTGATTGTGTATTTTTTCTTTGTTGCTCTTTGCCGTTGTAATCGAACTATGAACATCCTTTGTAATAGTTTCAATGAATGAAAAATTTTGCTTTAACTCTTGTTCCGGTTCTGATGGGTATGCCTGTACTTTGTAATGCTCCAGTTACTCCAACTGTTATTTCGGTTTTAGATGGTTAAACTATACCTGCCAGCCAACCACTCCTTAGCCGATATGCTTACTTCGGCTGAGGAGTACAAAGTGTTGATTTATTCCAGCCAACCACTCTTCAGCCATGCACTTACTTCGGCTGAGGAGTAACCAGAGTTGGTTTATTCCAGCCAACCACTCTTCAGCCAGACCCTTACTTCGGCTGAAGAGTAACAAGAGTTGGTTTATTCCAGCCAACGCACTCTTCAGCCTTACCTTACTTCGGCTGAAGAGTAACAAGTGTTGGTTTATTCCAGCCAACCACTCTTCAGTCACACACTTACTTCGGCTGAAGAGTAACAAGTGTTGGTTTATTCCAACCAACCACTCTCAGCCTTACCTTACTACTTCGGCTGAGAGAGTAAGAGTTGTTTATTCCAGCCAACCACTCTTCAGCTTACCTTACTTCCGGC